ACTTCTCTGATTTCAATTTGGTCAGTCTTGTTCGGCTGATTCAGACTTCAGCAACTCAACAAGACAACAAGACTTTTTCTCAATTAATCGATCATAAATAATAATACGTGATGGCTTTTGTCTTTTTCTTAAAGTACAGAAACAGAACCGTTGGAAAAACATCAAACCCATTTACTCTAACCAATGATTTGGGCACATCCTTTTCCCTTTTTTTAAATTTTTTCTAATTTCTTTTTCAAAGAGAAAAAGATGGGTAAGAATCTTAGGTGTGAAATCACAAGGTGATAATAGCTTGTTTATTAAAAAAAAGATTTTTTTTTTTTTATGATAAATGTGACCCACTAAGAAAATTCAAAATTCATATTGGATGATCAATTTTTAATTTAAAAATTTGATATGATTGTATACCTGCATAATCCCATTGTGCCATAAAACCAAATTGTAAAAGAAAACCAAATATGGAGATAAACCTATAACTCTTTTAAGCTGGGTCTAATTAAATTGCTAGTTAGGTCCAGTGTCTCCAAGGGAGTTAGTTGCCAAACCCCCTAACCTACTGGTTGTTGGATTACAATTCCTTCTACTCTTAAAAGCATCAAAACTTATAGTATGTATGTTAGGTACAGGTTTTCAGCCTGACCCCAATCCATTAAGCTGTCACCATCTTTCCAATTCACAAAATGCAATATTCTCCAAAAAGATATCAAATTGCCCAATAGGGGGTGGATTGTTTATGTGGTCATCACTCAGCTGGATTCTTGATATCATATCATTTTCCTTTTAGCGACTGAGATATACAATATAGGCCATGTGGGTCAATATTGGATTTTGAAAAGATTAGAAACATATAATTTCTCTTATATTGACAAAACTTTTTTTTTTCAACCATTATGGTGTTTCTAAATTAATTTTTATATATTTTAATATTGATCATAATTTTAAAAACACATTTTTATATTTATTTGATATATTTAAAAAAATTAACTTTTTTAAACATTGACTATAAGATTTAAATTTTAAATTTAATCTATAAAAATGATAGTTATTTATCTTTAAATTCAAAATTTAAAGTTAATCATACTAGTATGTTGAATATAAGAAAAGACGCTTTAATTTCATTTTTCATTGATTCACTGCTTAAATTTTAAGGCGCATTCTCTTGTTGTGGTTCGATAGTAATCACTGCTGTCCAAAAAAACAACCAGTGAATTGTACCCTTAACCTAAATTCAATACCTCTCACAAGCAATACTAACTTTATTAATCTTACTAACTTTATTAATCTTACTAATCTAACCGTTACCTTTATCCAAAAAAAAAATTTCAAGGCAAGATCAGTGGCTTCCCGAATGAAATAAATGTTTCCCTTTTTCTATGTGCTAAATTTTGGTTTTTCCTTTTACACGGGAAATATCGTATGTGGTGTTTAAAATTGGTATGGGTTTGACCTTTATGTTCTTTTATTGTCTTTATCATTCATAAAATGAGAAATTAGCTGAGTTAACTTATGCCACTAGCACTTCCTGAAGAAAATTATTCATAGGATGATTTTAACAACGCTTATACGCATATATACTTTTATATTTTGTCTAGACAAGTAGTGGAGTAATCATAGTTTTCTTCAATAAGAATAAATGTTTTAAGTTCGAATTATATATGAATGATAACAATATATAGTTTTAGAAATAATTAAAAAAATACAATAGAATGTAAGTACTAATGGTTGAGATTGTTTTCAGTTGAAGGGTTATTTACGTAATTTCAATATTTTCAATTGGAAAATATGTATTCGTGCGAATTACATTATCTGAAGATTTTAGGGTCAAGCCAACCTGCCTCCCACTTACCACCAAGGCACCAACCAGATCCTCGCCCAACCTCACTACCGTACAACCAGGGACGGAGCCAAAAAATTTCAGTTAGGAGGGGCAATAATTAGTATTAAAGATTCTAGTTTTTGAGAGCATATTTTATTATATTAATTTATTTTTAAATTTTTTTTCTTATAAAAAGATTTCCTTATGATTTTTTTATTGGTATATTATTAACAAAAATTAGAGATAAATTTATATATTATAATAAAATATAAAATATTGTAGTAATAATTATATAACGATCTATTGAAGAATGAATTATAAAGAAAAATTTGTTTGTTAACTAAATTTTTAAAAAATTAGAAAAAAAACTACAAAATTACATTTTTTTAATAAACTTGTTTTGAAAAAAATAAAAATAATATATTCTTAAAGTATAAATGAGAATGTTTTTATTTTACTGAAATAATGTAATTTTGGGATATTTTTCGTTTAATTTTTTGGAAGTCATGTTGATAAACACTAATATTATAAAAAATACTAGAATATTAAAAAATATTAGAATATTTCTTTTAGAAAGTTAACTCTAATTTTGATTGATTTAACACAAAAAAATTATAAATTCAGTTATATAAAAGGTAAAAAAGTACCCTAATCCCATAAGGAAAATTTTAAATTATTATATAAAATATTAAGAAAGAAAATAAAAAATTACTAAAGAAGACTATAAATTTAGAGTTAATAAAATAAAGAATCAAAATTTTCTTTTTTTCAATTTAATAGATAAGGAAATGTTTAAGAACCTCAATTATTAATTAATTAAATTGTCATAAAGTTCATTTTATTTAAAATCATATTCTAATGTTTTGAAAACTTTTTATTTAAATCATAAATATTCTCTCTGTATTTGAAAT